GTTACATCAAATCGAATTATTTCGAGTTTTAATTATTTTAAATTTAAATCATTGATTTTAAAGTTGAATCTTTTTTAGATTTGTCTCAGGCTTGAGTTCTAATTAATTATATTATTTTTTAAATTCTATGAATGATGTATTCATTTCAATATGCTTTTTGAATTAAGGTTGAAATCAAGTTCAGGTTTGAGATTTCAGGTTCTAACAATTTTAGGTTCAGGTTTTTTGAAGATCGGGTAATTTCAAGATCGGGTTTCCTCTTGTTAGGATCTTTAACCTTTTTGTCAAATCAAATTTCAACAGATTCAAGTTTTTTGGACGAATTTTTCAAATTCGGATTCATTGTACCGTGACTAGTAGTACATAGTCATATCCCTTGCACGTGAATGTATACTTTCTTAAATATGTGTTATTTCTTCAAGGAAGGAACGCCAAGAAAAGCTCCCGGATTCAAGGCTGATTTTATTTCCAGCAGCTCCCAAATCTCGTTTTTGACGTTATATGCGACGTTTGCACCAATAATGACGCAATATTGCAGAATACATGCCAGGCCTCTGACGATTTACTTTATTTGCTTTGAGGAAAATTAACCAATCATCTGCAAAAAATAAATGTGTTTGTTGAGGATATCTTCTAGTAAGTTTGACCCCTAACAAAACATCCGCTTGGGCTTCATTGGATCATCCTTGAGAGGACATCCACAACAAATAAGAACAAATATGGTAATAGGAGATCACCCTGTCTAAGACCTCTAGTAGGGTAGGATCCAGTTGTTGTTTTCCATTTAGCAATGAAGAATAGGAAACTGTTCTAACACACTCCACGATCAATCCAACCCAAGTTTTATCAAAACCAAGCTTACCCTATACAGCTTCTAAGGAATCCCATTCTACTCGATCCTAAGCCTTGTTCATATCTAATTTCATTGCCACTTCATACTTGTTCCCCCTTCCCCTTATTTTCAAATAGTGAAACATCTCCTGTGCTATTACTATATTGTCATGGATCTGCCTATTAGCCACAAAAGCATTTTGATTTTCAGTAATGAGCTATCCTAGTAAAGGCTGCATCGTAAAGGCTTCATCCAATTCACCTTTACCTGTGAAATCACCTTATAGAGAAATTGCATAAGCTAATGCGTCTAAATATGAAACCAATTCCGGACCTTTTAGCTTAGGAATCAAAACCACGGCTATGTAGTTTACCTCTCCTGACATCCTCCCTGTTTCAAAAAAATTTAAATCAACTCAAACCATATCTTCTTCTATGATACTCCAAATTTTTTGGTAAAACATTACATTAAACTCATATGGACCTGGAGCCTTATTAGCCCCAAGCTGGGAAACAGCCTATGTTACTTCTTCAATAATTCTGCTTACTAACCTTTCATTTATCTTATCATTCACTAGTTTAGGAACATTTTCAATAACATTACACCTTATAACTATCCCATTTTCATCAGCTACCCATTCACCATTCTCTCCTTTTAATCTTAAGATCTTATTTTTTCTTCTTCTCTGCATTGTCATATGATGAAAGAACTTGGTATTTTTGCCTCCCATAGACAGCCACTTGACTCTCTCTTTGATGCAAGTAGTACCTCTCTTTTTTATCCCAAGCCTCTTTTTGATTGCCTTCTATCAATTTCATCTTCTCAAAATCTTCCGCTGAAACCACATTCTTTCAAGTTCACCTACCTCCTTCATCAACTCTTCAACTTGGCCCCTATTATTTGTTTTTTCCTTTCTACTCCACTCATTTATTAACCTTCTGCAATTTTTAAGTTTCTGGACCACTGATATACCTTGGATCCTCCAAACTTTGCGTTCCACCCTTCTGTAATTAAATGTACCACAAATAAATCTGTACGAATAAGATATGCAAATATAAAATATAAAAGTTATATAATTTAAAATTTTAATAATAATTATATATGAATTTAGTAAAAATATATATCTTATATTTTTATATTGATATAAATTATAAAATATAATTTTTATGTAAAATACAATAAAAAAATATAAATTTTAATATTTTACATGACACGAATACTTAAATCATCAAATTTAATTATAATTTTCTTCCAGCAATCAATTAGGTTATTCAATTATTTAATTGATTATATAAACATAGTAACTTATTATGATTATGATTTCAAAAAAGAAATAGTAGACATTTTGAATTATTTATAACCAACATGATAGCCACCCAAATTTTGAGGACTACAATTGCCATATACTCTAATTATATAACACAATTTCTGCATTTGGTATTGAAACTTGAATCACGATTATTGAAATTTAAAATTCAATATTTTAAACAAACAAAGTAGCGTTGGTTGAATTTGATATTTTCAATATAAAAAATTAGTACCTAAACCATATAAAACTTTTAATTTTAGAAAAAAATTCATAGTAAAAATTATTTGCAAGTTTTGGGCTGGTAGTAGTTAAGCGCCTCGAGACGATTTTTGAACCCTATTAGTAGCGAGTAGCGACAAGGCTATGAGTATCATCGTAGCATCATTTTTCACGTGATTTGACAAAGACCATGTGGAATGCGATGGCTGAATTATGTTAATAGGGATAAAACCCCCAAGTGAATTCACAGGACCACCATTTGGGACCTTTTGGAAGCACAAATATCTCACGAAAAAATAATCTCATGATTCAGCTTCATATTTGGCTTTTTCACCATGAATCTCCATCGTGATATCATCTCACCCCACTTTTTTGATAAATATTAACGGTGGGTCTCTACTCTCTACTTCTCTTTAAAAAAAAAATAGAATGATTATTATCATGAATAATTTTAAATTATAATAAAATATTTAATATGATATTTAAATTTTTAAAATTTTTAATTTGATATTTTAATTATAAATTTATTAATTAATATAATATTAATTTTTAATGTAATTAATTTTAAATGATAATATATAATAAATAAATGATTTTATAACTATTAAATTAATTAATAAATGTATAATTTAAATATTATAATAATTTTTTATATAAAAAAATAAAGATTAGTTTGTTTGCATTATTAAAAAAGCTAGAATGAAATAAACGATTAGTAGTGGAAAACCTCAACGGTGATAATCAATTATGATTTGGGAGCAATTAAGAATTTTTAATTAAGGTAGTGGGGGGTATGATTAGAAACCAAACCATGTTCTCTGTCCCATGAAAAGAATCAAATGACACGAGTAAAAGCACTTGGGGCCGACACATACGATGCAAAGACGGCAATACCCGGAACGGCTGCAAACAGAAATGCTATAAGGGGACCCACCCTTTTTTACTTTCTCCCAAAGTGCTCGACAGATTTACCTTTTTTTTCCTTTCTAACAAGTTTTTAATCCAACCAAAATTAGAGATGAAAAAAAAAATGGAAAATGATTGATTTAGTTTAAGTTGATTTTTTTTTATTTTGTTTGTGTTAAAGTCATAAATTAAATGTATATATTAAGTTTGAATTAAATTTTAAATTAAAAAAAAAATAAAATTAATTGAATTATATACTTTTAATAATTTTTATATTTTTTAAATTTTTATAAAATAAAAATAATTATTTTATATAAAAATATATTTAAATGATATATAAAAATATAAAAATTGATAAATCAAATCGAATCGATATGATTTAATTTAAATCAAATCAATTTAAAAAAAATTGATTCAGATTCCAATAAAATTTTAAAAATTCATAATATTAATTATTATCTAAAAAAATCGAATTAAATCAAATCTGATTCAATACAAATCGTTATCATCTCTACCCAAAATTCTTCTATCCTAATAATTATTTTGTTGAAAAAAAAATTATGTTGTAAACTTTTTTGACTTCCCATTTTTAAAGTTTAGTTCTAATGATATATTAATTAAAGTGATTAATTTATAGAGAAATCATTCACTCTCGATTATATATAATAAGATAACTTGGTACAAAAATAATATAAAAAATAATAACAATAAAATTTAAAATTTTAATAAAAATTGTAAATTAATTTAGTACAAAAATGTGCTTTGTTTTTAATATGTTAATACAAATTTAACATAATAATTTTTTGTGTTTTATATATATATAATATAATATAAATATTATATAAATACATAAATTATTAAATTTACTTTGTATAAATGGTAATTAAAATATTAAACCGGGCAGATTAGTTTGCCCTGGCATTGTAATTGTAACCATGATCAACATAGAATTCTGTCTGTTCCCTTGGCCCATTTCTTTCCCTATAAACTTTTTTCCATCCCAAGCCAACCTTTTATTGTAACTTTGATGATTACCTCCGAAGGGAATCTGGAATTGCCAACTATGATTCACATTTCATACCTAACAGTTGCATTTTCACAAGAAAAGATGCCCCTAAATCACGCTTTCATGTAAAGACAATCAAGAGAACGGCCCTCCCCCGCAATTGAATATTCTTTCTTGTTTAAGGATTACATTTGATTTTCCATTAGTCCAGTTGGTATATTACATTTAATTTTCTCTATTCTGAAAATAAAATTACCCTAGATTAATTTTAAAAGGTTAATCCAACTGATAAAAAAAAAAAAAAAAAAAGAACTCTCTGGATGTTTGTGGATAATTTGGATAATTATTTCATGTATTATACAAAAATTATATATTATGTTTAATTGATAAAAAATAAAAAAATATTTTTTATTTTTATTATTTATTATTATCATCGTATTTGTTTTGTCAATGGATTTAATACCAAAACATGATAAAACACGATACATTTGCATTTAAAAATAATTTTTCGTTCCGTAATACAATTGTTTTTGTTGGTTAATGCACCTAAACTTATGAAGGCTAATGCACTCTTAAAATCTCGTGAAAAAATTAAATCCAATTAAAATTAGAAATAATTTGACTACATTATGAATAATATATATTACATTGGATTGAAAAGACAAAAAAAAACAAAGAGGACCTTCCTTTTAGATCTTCACAATACTTTAAAGGGAAAAACAACAAAGTTGATAACAAATTATTAATGAACATAGAACAAGAGATAATACACCAACAAATTTACACAAACTTTACAGGTAATAACAATTCCTTTTCACATTACACACATGTCCATCCCCTGTTCATATTTTCCTCTCTTTTTCTTCAATGATACCCAGAATCACAGTATACATTCAAGACCAAATAAGCAAAATCCCAATAAACTAATAGAAAAAAATATATTAAAATAAATCCCAAGACTCTAAATTTATAAATTAAATTTTCAACAAAAACTAAAAGAAAGCTTGTAGTATAAAAAAAAAAGAACACTTCTTATTCTGCCATATGCATTGTCTTCTACTTTTTGACAGGAAATTCAAGCCCCACCAGAAGGAATTGATTATTGAAGCTTAATCAGAATAAGGCTTCACCTTGGACCTATAGAGAAACTTCTTCTTCTTTGAGGTTTGGTTATCAATGGTGAGAACAACTTTGCCAGGCTCACCGGTTTTGAAGCTATCAGAGATCACTGCTTCATCAGCTGGACCAACTTTCCTTGTCTTTGATACAATCACAGTATATCCATCTTCAGCACTTGGCACAAACTCAGCTCCATAATTGACATCCCATCCCACAACTCGGAGCTCCCAAACTAAATTGCATTTCTGCTAATTCATCAACCAAATATTGTTCATATATTATATATAAATGGATTATTACATTGATATTTAATGAAAGATCCAAATGTTCTCATCTTACCTCAGTTAGAGGAAGTTCAACAGTGTGCTTAGTTGCGGGCTTGATTGTAACCTCTATGACAGCATCAGCAACCGAAAATTCTTGTTCACCCTCCCTGTTCAGTCCACCATACTGAACTGGGACTTGTTCAGGAGCAATATATCTATTTATTCCAAAAAAGAGTACCGTGTGAAAAATAATAGAGAGAGGGGATTTATGATTAGAAAAAGGAATCAAAGGAATCATTCATCTTTGATCAAACAGCACAATAATATAAAACAAAATAATGTCTAGAGAGATCTATGACTATGAGTGCTCAATTAGAAATAAATATAGATTCTTATTCATGGGCAAGCAAATAAAAAAAGGACTGAAATTATTAGAGTCTGCTTACCTGAAGAGAGTCTCAGCAGATTTGGCTGGACCTGCAAACACAAACTTGCTCTTGGTTCTCTGAGTTAGGAAAGGGCTAATCATCCTATTGAAGGCCAAGTACCACCATGGAACATTGATGAACACCTTCAAAATCCAAAACCACCATTGAATTATTTTAAATTTTAACATATAATAAAAATATTAAAATTCTTTTCTTTTATATTTGACAAGTTGCGTGTACCTGTTTAGCTACAAACTCAGGATAGTTATCTTGAAGCAAGTTAAGTGCCTGATTGGTGGCCTGCCTGAGCTCCTTTTTGGTAGGTCCAGGAGAATTCTTGAGATCATTGACCTGAACCATGGTACAGATACCACTAGGACTGAAGTCCAGCTTCCTAATACTCTTTTCCAAGAATTGAATCCTCCACCTCAAGAACTTGGATCGTTTTTCCTCATCGGCAAAAGTATTCTGATACAACTCTTTCTTTCGGAATTCCCCATACACGTTGTAGCAAATAGGATGACCTTCCTTATCGAACCCATGCATAAAAACCACTTTCTCCAATTCATTTCCAAGATCCTCATCAAGCAAGCCTTCAATTCCAAACTCCTTTCGCCAGCGAGCAGTGTTCTTGATCATAATAAATGCATCTTTTACTTTGAAATCCCTTGCCCTCAAGAATTTCAACAGGATCACATCGCTCCTTTCGTCAGCAAGAAGCGGAATTCCCCATATAGACACCTCTTCGGGTGGAGGTGGAGGAACTTCAGCTTCTTTTGGCTCCTCTGGTAAAGGAGCTACCTCTACTTCTTTGGAACCAGAAGCCTCCCCCTCCTGTTTCTCCGATGGTGGAGGGGCAGAGACTGCTACTACAGATTCCTCAATAGCCTCCACGGTCTTGGCGCCATCATCGTCGACAGTTGTCACTGTCTCAACCACCTGTGTTTCCACCACCACCGTCTCAACAGCTGGTGCCTCGGTTGGTGGTGGAGTTTTCTCTTCTTCTTTGACTTCAACAGGGGAGGGTGCTTCAACCTCGACTTTCTCAGACGTTTCGGCCTTTTCTTCAATTTCAGCAGCAGCAGCAGCAGGTTTGTCTTCCTCTTTTTCTTCTTTCTTCTCTTCCTCCTTCTTTTCTTCTTTCTTTTCCTCCACTAACGGCTTTTCTTCTTCTTTGGCCGGTGGGGGTGGAGCAGTGAATTCATGCTTGTTAAGAGCTTCTTGAATAAGTTGTTTAAGCTCTTCAAGAGCCTTCTTTTGTGGCTCAGGAAGTTCACCAACTATATTGGTTTCTTCTTTGAAAGAAACCGACTGAGTAATCTTAGTTTCCTTTTCTTCAACCTTAGGCTTCTGAACTTCAACAGATTCAACCTCAGCTTCTTTCTCTTTAACTACAGCAGCTGCCGGCTTTTCGGGTGCCTCAGGCTCTGGCTCGGGAGCAGGCGGTGGTGGCTCTTTCTCTGTAACTTCGGGCTTCTCAACCACCACTTCCTCAGCTGGCGCCGCCGCCGCCGCTGCTGCTGCTGCTTCCGGCTTTTGAGTCTCCTCAGCCATGGATGTAAGACGATGATCTGTAAAGGAACAAGAGAAAGAGAGCGTTTAAACAGAATCTAAGGGAGAATTATGAGAAAAGAATGATGATGAGAGATAGTATTAGTTTCAAGAGAGAAGAAGAGGAGAGAGGGTTTAAAATGACGAGTGACTGGAAGAAATGGAGTAGACGTTTGTTGGAGATGGAGAAAACCAGTCTGTCAGACCCGTTTGCCAGCTGTTATGCCACTTTGTTAGTGGACCCCACTCCCTCTCTCCTCTTCTCTTGCTTCTAATTTCAAACCGCTATCCTTGCCACTACTTCCCGCTTTCCTAATTTGACTATTTTTATTTTATTTTTATTTCTTTGCAATTTGCTGCCTTCCCACCCCCTCCATTCACCCCATCGTGCCATATATTCTCTCTTCTTTTCATTATGAAAATTTTAATTTTAAATATTTGGAATGAAAATAATTTTTTAAAATTTTTAATTTACTCCTTACTTTTTTATCTTATTATTTATTTAATTAAAAAAACTATACATATAAACTCTTCGATCTCATAATCTATAAATATAAACTTTAAAATATGTTAAATAATTCAAAAAATAATCAACAAACGAAAGTAAATTTTGAATATTACTAAAAATAAAACGAAAGAATAAATTTTTTTCACTTTTTCTGATAAAAAAAATTAATCAAAATTTTGATAAGTAATTACGACATGTGAGAAATCAGTGGCAAGAAAAGAATGCAGAGCAAGCTTTGTTTAACGTCAATTTCTTCTAGACATTAATTTTTGACCTTACCAACGCCCTTAACCTTATCTCTAAAGATTCATGTTGCCATGCTCATCTTAATCTACTGAATATTTTAATTTTTAAGCCCGTCAACTCTCTTTTTTTTTAATGGTTTTTTAAAAATACTTACATAAATTAATTAAATTTTTACATGTTTATCTTTAGATTATCAATTACTAAATTTTTTTTTATATTTTACAATATTATTAAAATAATCATACTAATGTAGAAAAATGCAGTGAATCACAATGAAAGGTAATACTTTTATTTTCTAAATTCCACATCAAACGTCTCAGTTGAGATTTTCAAAATGCAAAATTTCAAATTCTAATCACCTCGATGTTTCCTTGAAACCATATCCAATGAATCACAAATTCTTTACAAATTTGATTAGTATTTTAATTTTATATACTAAATTATATGTACTATTTACCAAAACGTAAAGTGCCTTTTATTTGAGTTTTAATTTTATTTTTAATCTTCAAATTATTTCATTAAATCCCAACATTTTTAAAAATATATCAATATTTCCTCTCATCATATTTTGTTATAAAAAATATTAAAAAATGCAGAAATTCCAAATCAAAATAATAGATATAGAATTATTTTTTAATAAATAAAAGATCACAATCTAACAATAAAAAAAAATCACAATTTTAAAATTCAAATTTTAAAATTATTAAATAACACCTCTTAAAAATAAATTCCATCAATTTAAACTCTTTGTTCAATGATAATTTTTGTTACCGTACAAAAAAAATTTTAATTAGAAAGTTTTATATCTTATTCTTAAAGGAATTATTATATGTACATTTGTCCTACATTTAAGATGTTTAACCGCAGCTCTTCCCGAACCTTCCCTAAATTATGCGTGTATTTCGTCTGTTTTTTTGTTTTTTTTTAAATTAAAGTATTTGGTTTGATTTATAAAAATTTATTTTATCACAAAAGAAAATGTAAAGCACTTGGCTTTTGAAATTTTGAGATTTTTAGCTTAAGAAATAGGAAGCACGTTTAAGTTTTCTGATGGAATTAAAAATCAAAATTCTTTTTAAAAAATATTGATTTTAGCCGATAAGACTTTCATTTAAGGATAAAAAGGTTTTAAAATCTTAAAATTTTAAATTCAAATTTTATTATGTATAAGTTTAATTTAATTTTATATTAATTTATTTAAATATGTCTTTAATTATTTAATAATTTTTTCTGTAGGAGAAAATTTTAATTATTATTAGAATTTCATAAAAAAAATTGATTCTATGATAACGAATAATAATTAACGAGATTTTTTTATATTTTCAATTTATTCTTGAATGATTCATAAACTTTGTAGAGTGTATAAATACATTCATCTTTATTTAGTTTATTTTTTATTTTTCAGATTTATAAGAACTTCTACTTATTTACAATTTTTAGGTAAATGCAAAATTTATTTTATTTCAAAATAACACAAGGATTTATTTATCTATTTCTTAAAATTTAAAATTTATTATTTGGGTTTGATAAATTTCGATCTTTAATTTTGTTTATTAATTAAAGAATAAAAAAACAATCAAATAAGTTTTTTAAGTACCACCCAGCTTTTACATTAAAAATTTTCAAACCCTATTTTAATTTTTTTACAGTACTTTTTGAATATTGTTCCTCAAACAAACACTTCCTAGAAAAGTACTAAGCCGCCCAAACAGAGCATTCCTAGAAAATCTCAATTTCGTTTCAAAATAGTTTCCAAACAATGGGCTTGGATGGGATAAGCCTTTCGTACCTTCGAATCAATGGGCGGCATAATCTTAAGATAAATCAAATGACATATTAGAAACTGTCTTTGAACAACAAATTAAAATTTTTAATTTTAAAAGCCGTAATTGTTTTTTATAAAAATATTAGAAACCGCTTTGCACGTAACGTTGATGTTGTTTTATATTAAAAAAAAAAAAAAGAAAACGAAATATTTTCATTTGTACTTATGACTTATCACTTTCTAACTGAATTTTTGTATAAAATATAAATCTTCAGAAAAAAATCAAGATTTATTTATTCATTCCTCAACAAAAGAATCCAATATAACAAAATATTACATGATGACAGACCTGTCAATAAGAAAAAAATCACAGGACCCAATTTCTCGTTGGACCACCCCCGACAGCGCATTACAACAATGTCTCTGGTTTTGCCACGCGTTAAGCCCTGCAAACAGGCTGTCATTTGATCACAACAATTTTAATTCTTTTAAAAAATAATTTTCTTCTTTTGAAATTTCTTATGATACCTTGACACGATCGCCTCCTTTTGAAAAAAAAGCCAGACGAAAAAAAAAAAAAAGATTGAAATTAGTGGACCCACAATCGCCCAAGGGTTTTCTTGCTTCGTAAAGCAACCGAAAGCTGTTGGTTGGTTTTTCTTTGCTGCCCCTTTCTTTTGTTCTGAATTTTAAAATCAAATTTGTGTTTTGTTTTCTTGTTATTTAAAATAAGTAATAATAATCTACCGTTTGCATTGAGGAAAAGACAAAATTAGGGCTAAAATGGGTAGAAAACATAGTAACGTGTTAGGGCAATTGTTGTGTCGGGACCAGCTAAGTACATGAAGGCTAAATGCTTGGCTTTGGAATTGGATTCATTTGCATAGGCTTATTACAAAACATAGTGTGTCGGAGATCCTGGGAATGTTCCACTCAACTCAACCCGTAGGACACATGACACAACACTTGACGGTTGCCAAAACAGCTGGCATTGTTCCGTTTTTTCTTTGTCATATTTGCATCATCATTAGCAACCCAGTGTAGCTTTGCCTTTTTAATAAATTAGAAAATATAAAATAAATTAGATTTAATAATTTATATATTTATATTTTATAAAATATTAAAATTTATATATTTATATTATATTTTATATAAAAAATTACATATTATAATTTATATCAATATAAAATATAAAAATATTTTTTTATTTTTATTAAATTCATTTATAATTATTATTAAAATGCTATATCATGTTACTTTCATATTTATTTTTTTTATTATATTTATGCCATATTATTATTACATATTTTAAATTATCAAATCTAAAATAAATTACAATCAATGATCCCATAGAAAAGTTACAATTTTCTTCTTAAACTTCTAATTTTGTTTTTGAAATAATTTTTTTATTAAAATAAACTTTACTTTAAAAATATAAAAAAATTATAAGCAGTAAATTTAAATTTTAAAATTTAAAAAATAATTATATAGATCAAATTAAATTTTAAATTTTTTATTGGTTTTTAACTCAACATAATCCAAGTATTAAACAATCGGTCGATGACACGCTATTTTTTTTTTGGGTCAAATGGTGTGTGTTAGTTAATACCTTTTTAAAAAAATTATTAGTTAATATTAGGGATATAAATAATACAATAATACTCATAAATCATTTAAATTTAACTCAATAAGATTCGATTCAAATAAAATTCGAATTCGATAAAATTATAAATACATTAATACATTAATACTCATAAGTTATTCAAATTCGAACTCAAATAAGATTTGATTTAAATAAAACTCGAATTCGACAAAATTATTATTAAGTTGAGCTTGAATAACTTGATTTAATAATCAAACTAAGTTCGAACATTCTTATATCTTGTTCGAGTAGCTTTCGAACCTAATTAAGTTTTTATATTTTAATATATTTTTAAAATTTTAATTAATAAAATATTTTGAGCTCAAGCTCGAGTATAAATAATTGAAATTTTATCAAATATAAGTTCGAATTTATTTTTACATGTTAATCAAGCTTAATCGAGCGAGTTTGAGTAGCTCGATTTTTATATCGAGTTAAGCTCAAATTAAAAAATATATATATATATATATAATCAAATTCGAGCCATATTTCGAGTCTCAAATTTCAACTCGAACTTGAGTTCAAATTTAATATTATATCGGTTCGAACTCGATCAATTACACTTTTAATTAATAATTTTTAAAAATTAAATAAAAATTTTAAAAAGTTTATTGCAAACACAAAACTCTATTTACCCATTATTTCATATTTTGGTTTAAAATTTTAAATTAAATTTAAAAATTATAAATATAAAGATTAAATAAATTGTTTAATATTAAGTGATCTCATTACATATTTAATTGATCATGTATGTTGTTAGCTATTAGTTAACAGCTAAGTTGACGGGCCAAAAAATATTTTAGTTAAAATGCTAACAATACAAACTATAGGGATGAATATGGTATTAAGAGTTAAATTTTGGAGACTAATACAGGCAAATTTTACTAAAATAAAATGCTACAACCTAAATCGATCCCGAATGCCCCAATTCTATATCCTTGACAGCTTATTATATGTAGTTTTTTTTTTTTTTTTCCCTTTCTTTCTTTCTTGGCAATCATTAAATATTATCCAGCTTTCTTCCTCCACTTACAACATTTTTTATATTTGAACTTTGAAAAATGTATGAATTGATATATATTTAAAAATAAAATGTATTATTTGTATCTTAAAATTTTAAATTATGTATCATATTAATTTAAATTAAAATTGTATTATTTATTTATTTATATTGTATCTAACCGGTATAATTTTATTATATATATTATTTGTTAAATAAAACTATTAAATATTTTGTAAAAACATTATGTGGATATCATGTAAAAACATTAGGGGATGTAAAGGGTAAGTTGCGAATTTTTACCTTTCATATCTTTTGAAAATTTCTTAATTATTAAGTCAAAGAAGCTAAGATAATTTTAAATATTTTTAAATATTTTTTTATTCAAATATATATATATATATACACGTGTATGTGTGAATTTGTTAGAGAATTAAATTTTTTTAATAAAAAATATATATCACTTTCACAATTAATATACCTAATTTGATTTTATTAGAAGCAACAGAATACGTGAATTTGGAAATTATGATATGTGTTGACAGGTAAGCTCCAACTAACATCCATCATCAATTGTCAAATACGTAATCGTAAATCAATAGAAACCAGAGAATACTAGAATTCCACCAATTTTTTCTTTCTTTTTTTTTTTTTTTTTGGTATTTTGTTTGTAATCTGAATATGTGAATCTCTTTGCAATCTTTTCCATGTTAGATTTCGGAGAACACAGCTGAATTTGAGAAACATTCGAATATAGCTTCAAGAGACAACCTTAGGTATATATATAAAGATATATATTTATATTTATATAAAAGAGGTCGAATAGGTAATTATATTATTTTTATAAAAAAATTGTAATTTGAAAATAAACAAAATTATAAGTATTAAAATTAAAATTTTAATTTTTTTATAAAAAAATATAATTTAAAAATAAAAAATTTGTAAATATTAAAATTTGAATTTTAAATTTATTAAACTTTGAATTTCACAATAATTAAGTTTATATTATTATATTTTGTTCAAATTTGAGATGTACGATTACTTGTGCATATGATGGGTTTATATTATTATATTTTATTCAAATTTTAAATTTATTAAACTTCGAATTTCACAATAATTAAGTTTATTAATTAATTCAGTGAATTTGTTTATAGATAACTAAAGCAACAAAAACTTATTATATACAATTTCTTATAATGTCAGTCATATGGAAATGTATAAGAAAAATATTTTGGATTAAAAAAAAAAAATCTTTGAGTACACAAAGAACCCATTATTTTTAAAGATATTCTTGATGAAGTAGAAAGCTAAGTATGAAATGAGATGAAAAATTTTCTAATTACAGAATTCAAAGTTGAGGAAGTTCACATAACAATCAAACAAACTAATTTTACACCAGATATTATGTGGGTGAAATATAAGAAATTTTAGATAATTAAGATAAATATTAAAAGAATAAAAAATTATATCATATATTTATCTTGAAATGTAAAAGAGAAAAAAAAATGTAGAATAACTACATATACTGGGTTTTAAAATGAAAAAAAATAAAAAAAGTGATTATTTAAATCTTTTGTCAAAAAAAAAAAAAACTAAATTATTAATATGATCTTATAATATATATTTATTTATATATTATAATTAATTAATTTAAAAGCTTTCTTCCTACTTGTGAGTCTCGTGGTGCATTTGCCTTCTTACATAATATGTTAGTAAAGTAATGAGATTTTAAATTTAAATTTAATTACACGTGAGTTTAATTCATTTTTATATTAAATTTATATAATTATATTTTGATTTATCGATTTGTTTGATTATTCAATATTTTTTTATATATAGATATAATATTTAATTATAATTATAATTTTTCTAAAAAAAAAAATTGTAAGTAACTTATAAAATGCACCATATTTTTGAACTTCAAGTTGTTGGTGCAAATTTTTTAGAGCAAATGTTGCGATACAAAGTTAATCAATCGACACCAACAAGTTGTTATTTAAAATTGAAGATTTCGATTTCCAACTTCAATCATAATTGTTTTCGCTCTTGTTACCTATTTGGTAAGGGATGAGGAATACGAAGTTTCTAACAAGATTAACTAAATTAATCTGAAAGTGAAAGTGCTGAAAACAAAATAATTGCTGAAAAATAATAATAATAAAAAAAGAAAACATGAAAGCTGAAGATAAATGTTTAGATTTGATTTGTAGAACTCGTTCTTCTTCTTGAAAAGTTGTATTTATACTTGGTTAATTTGCAACTCTAATTCAGCTGCCATGTAAAAAATGGTTGCAGCGGTAACCAGTTGACAAACTTCCTCTGATTATCTTCTCTGTGTTGAATGCTTCATAGAATTACTCTCTCACCAAACATAATAAATGGTTGCGGTCCATAAATAACGTAGCAATATGGCTTTAAAAGATTTAATTTACCCTTAAAGGCATTGACTGCCCATTGGAGTTCAACTTCCCAATTAATAAACCAGACGTGCCCTGAAAAATCACAAGCAAAAAACAAGTGATATGCATTCCTCTTGCTATTGAAAGTTGAAACTCTTGCGCCTACACACAATCCAAGAGGGCAAAACACAAAAACTTGCTACAAAAGGCATAAATGGAAAGTCAATCCCACGGCACTAAGTGCAGCTAGCAGCCAATAAAAGTAACCAAGATGTGCCCTATTCTGGTTTTTTACAGACAAACTATCTCGGCCATCCCCACCAGTGTGCAAGACCGACACTCCTTAATTCATTTGCCACCTGATCATAAAAAAAAAAAAAAAAAAAATCTTGAAAACCAACCATGGTGAACAAATCAGATAATTCAAGAGTACATGTAAAGGGACCAGCCACCACACACTCCTTGGTACCGTGACATTTGGCTTGTCTACCAACCTATATTTTTGAGCAGTTTTAAAAGCCCCTTCAGCAGCAATTACCCTTGATGTAACAGATAGAACAATTCCGTTTCCAATTCTTTTGAAGCATTGTAATTCCAGCCTGTTTCCCAGTCAAGGCTCTTGCTAAAGGAACAAAAATGCGGTCATATATAGGAATGAAGAGTACAATTGGAAGGCTAACGAATGACTGAAGTGTAGCAGCAGGTATTTGAAAACCAGTTGTAATTGATCTGTCCATGGTAGCTCCTTGCTTGGTAAAGAAAGTGGGTGATTGTGCAAAGACAACTGCATAAATCAAGCTTGTAGCCCTATTGGTGCAAGCCTTATAACAGCCTTTGCTCCTTCAACCTCTCCGACGCTACACACCTTTCCTTGTTCCTTTGTGCCATCTGGTGCAAGCAAGGCTTTGTTGAGGAATCTGCCACATTTGAACATCCATATTGCCATGTTAGAGATTTCGACCCATAATTGAGCATCAGATTTTGGGTCTTGACCCATAGTTTTGTGAAGAATATAGTTTTTATTTTGTTTTATCTTCTTTGTTTCTTTATTTATTTTGTCATTTTATTTTCTCACATTCATATATATCCAAAATTTTAATGTATAATTTTATTCTCAACCACATTTATGTCATGTTGTCAACAAAATATAATATCATTATTTTCTTAACTGATGATAATTTATTAATTTAACATAAAAGAAAAATTTTCAAGACCTCTAGGGTGACCAGTTCACTTCTAGTGGAAACTTTATTAATGGCATTAGGAAAATTAAGGTGGGGGACAAAGATGGAACATTTCTAAGCACTTTTTTGCTGACAAATGCCATCTGCATGAGGTCTCATGTTCATTCCCATTTCTCAGCGAACAATTATAGTTGGTTCATTAATATGTGCTAACATTAGTTTAAGATTACGTTCCCTTTCTTCTCCAATGTGAGATTGAAGTACCTTATCTACTCTATTGGATCTAATCTTGTGGTGTTCTCATTATGATTATCATCTTGTTTGCTTCTCTTTAAAGTGTTTGGCATGATTAGACTTTGCCCCAATACTTTTCTCTAGTATTTTATAAAGTGATTAGATTGATTCACCTTATTTATCTTTTGTTGGAGATCTTGACGTAAAGTTAAATAAATTAAGGATTGATTTTAATATTACTTGTCCCGTGACTATTATTTTCTTCCTAAAAAATTGATTTTATTGGGGAGTATAGCGCTAAACGTTTATAAGTCTAACGATTTTTTATTTTTTATTTAATGTGATATTAAAACACTCATCTATTCTTTCAAAACATTTGATGTAACATTTATGTTCGTTAGTTGAATCCCACTTTCTTTTATCAATTAAATTAAATTTATAAGTTAAAAACTTACTATTTATTTTTTTTAATTTTTTATTTAAAATTTATGAAATTTTGTGAATTAATTTAATTATTTAATAATAAAATTATTATTTGACATATTATTGTTATTTTAATATATATTTTTAATTATTTATTAACAAAAGTATTATTTGACAAATATTTTTTTAATTTTATAAATGATAAATAATTTAAATTTTTACTACATATATTTTGAACATAATATCTTTAATTATCATTTTATTTTCTCATTATAATTCATCTCATGATGTCCCATCATCATCATTTTGCTTTTGCTTTCGAATATATATATGATTTTAATCTTACAGTTAGTGTAGTTAATTTTATTTTCATTACTATTTTTAACTTTATAAAACCAATTTCGATCGCTTAAAATATAGTTGTTAAAAAGAATTAAAAAAAAAATACTAAACATTACAGTTACAACAATCGATCTGATGCTGAGACCTAGAATCATTGATCACGACATCCCTTTTTTGTTTATCATTTTTCTTTTGTACAACAATTTAAGACTGCATTGGTCTACTTGCCTTGTTATAAATGTAAGCTTTGGCAAAATACAAGTAGAGAGTCAATTCAGCGGAACTAAGTGCAGCAAGCAGCCAATAGAAGTAATCAAGATGTGCTCGATTTAGATTATTTGGAAACCAACTCTCTCCACCATTCCTACCAGTGGCATTTTCAATGGCAGAGATGAGAAAGCTACTCAAGAAGCTTCCAACGCCAAAGATGCTAAGGTAGAGTGCAAGACCAATGTTTCTTAATCCATTTGGGACCTGATCATAGAAAAATTCTTGAAGACCAACCATGGTGAGCATCTCAGACAATCCGAGCAGAACATATTGAGGAACTAGCCACCAAACACTCATTGGAACCATGGCATTCGGCTTGTCCACCAACCCATATTCTAGAGCAGTTTTAAGTCTCTGCATCTCTACTAAAGCAGCAATTACCATTAATATAGCAGATAGAAACATTCCAGTTCCAATTCTCTGAAGCATTGTAATTCCAGCAGGTTTTCCGGTCCAGGCTCTTGCTAAAGGGACAAAAACGCGGTCATATATAGGAATGGATATAACAACAGTGAAGCTGATGAATGACTGAAGTGAAGCTGCAGGTATTTTAAAACCTGTTGTAATTGATCTGTCCATGGTAGCTCCTTGTTTGGTAAAAAAGGTTGAGGATTGTGCTTGGACAACAGCATAAACCAAGCTTGTAGCCCATATTGGAACTAGCCTTAGAACAGCCTTTGCTTCTTCAACCTCTCCGATGCTGCACACCTTTCCATGTTCCTTTGAACCATCCGGGGCAAGCAAGGCTTTGTTTAGGAATCTACCGCATTAGAAAATTCAGAATGCCATGTTAGAGATGTTCTGGCACGGAAAACATAACTAGGAAGAAAAAGAGGAGAAAAAATTCAACTATTTCAGCCAAGTTCAATATTAAAAAATCACAACAGTGGATAAAAAGCAAAGAATAGTGCATGAGCTCCCCACCAACAAGAGGCTATAGAAAAATGGTTTGAACACACATAGTTTCACGATAAGGGAAACAGTACAATGTCTGCACATTTATAAAGATTTGATACATGCTTCGTTGAACTGAATAAAAGAAGGGAATGATATATCAGGACAACACAAAATATCATTTTACAAGGTCCTAACATCCAAATTTCAAACTACCAAAGTAAACTGCATTGATTAGGTTACAATAGAAACATAAATCAAACTTAATTCAGTTGTTGTATGAACAAACAGCAACCAGCATGAATAATTTTCCACAAGTTGTTTTTTTTCCTTGAGGAATGCTTGTGTATGACTTTGGATACAAATGTTCCTTATTAAAGCTCTCTTTGTCCTTGTTTATAGTTATGTTAGGTGACCTATCCCACAAGCTTAAGCTGATAGGAAAGGACCCAACTTAAGTTCTAATATTTATGGCCCCTAATTTCTTTTCTCTATGTGAAAAAAATGTGAAAAACATTTTAACTTACTTGAATTGCTTGGAACTTTCTGAAGGCAGAGTCCCATGAGCTTCTTCTTCTGCAGCTGATGTTCTCCAATTCCTAACAGCTAAAATGAGCGCCCGACCAATTCTCACAAATGGACTCTTCTCATCCCCTTTGACATTATACCGGTAACTAGTTGATCCACACAAGAAAACAACCAGACCAACAACCATCATGATACAGGGGATCCCAAATCCAAGAACCCAACTAAGGTTGTCTTGGATATAATTTAAAACTGAAAATGCTGCTAAAGTGCCAGAACATAAACCAAAATACCACCAATTAAAGAATGAACTCTTTGCTTTGCACTCGTCTGGGTCTTGTGTATCAAACTGATCTGCACCAAAAGCTTGAACACATGGTTTATGTCCGCCTTGTCCAAATGCTACTAGATAGAGTGAGAAGAATAATATTATCTCTTGTAACAAAGGAGAAGAACATAGTATGCTGGTATCAGCTTTTTCACAGCCAGAAGAGTCGACAGAAGGAAGAGCAGCTGACAAAGTTAGCAAGCCTAGGCCCTGTAAATTAATCCAAATCATGTCAAAAGGGAAAAAGAAAACATCTAGGCAAGTAATTGACACAATGAACAAAATAAATAAATTAAGCCTGAGAACTTCCATAGATATCATGCCTTTAAAAAGTTAGAATTTGTCCAAAGCGGGAGCTACTCTATGCCTTGGAGTACAAATGTTCCAAGTCAAGCAACAAATGGCTCAATACAAGTTCCATATTCTATATACTTGCTGAAACTTGAATTGAATTTCAAAAACTTTGTTTCAGCATTATGAACATCTTCACTGGTTTAAGATTCGTTTGGCTTACTCATTATACTAAAGAATTTAAAGGAACTTGAGCCAATGCTTCTGAACTCAAGCTTAAATTCAACTCTGTTTTATTTTCCTTTTGATAAGAAAATTTTAATACAAAAGACGAAAGCGAACAGGCTACTTACATCAAGAAAGAAAGAAGAAGCAAACTGCAGGCACTAAATCAGACCTTGTTCAAAGCACAAGTAGAAATATCCAAACTAGAATAAGTTGTGTATAATGTCAAATGCTATCCCCTCAGTCAAGACACAAGACACTAACATGAATTGTGATAGCTCACACACCATTATCAAGGGTAAGGCATTTTTCTGTTTTAGCCCAGGTGGCAAAAGTTTGACTGTTCTTTTACGACCAGAGGCTGTAAATATCAGCATTCCTAGCAGACAATAACAACTAAGCACTGAATCTCTTTCCTTTGGCATGATTGAATTATTTTTCATCCATTTCAGCTCAATATGCCAATCTTTCACAGCTTGCTGAAAACAAACACATGAAATAAGCCTTTTTCAATTTCTCAAAGTGAAATGACACCCAAGGAAAGATGATTCGTGCTCTCAGAAGAAGCATAGCCAAAAGTACAGGATAAACTACAAGGCATTCCCCAACTGAACATTCTATCCTAGGTTGTTATTATATCCGGCTGGCCAGATCTTATGCCTTCAATAGCCTTGGAGTAAATACATAGACCAGCTTCATGGGAATATCCTACAGCCAGATCTCATATCCTACAGCCAGATCTCTATCCTACAGCCAGATCTCAGAACAAGAGGCTCAATATCAAGCCAATTTTTACACCGAAGGAAAAGACCATGTTAATTGCCTATTCATGTGATACTAGAGAAAGTTCTCAGCAGTCAATCTAAGGGCTAGTTTAGCATTGCTGTTGCAGTTCAAAAGAGTTTGAGTTGGAAAAAATGCATATAAAAAGTGTGATAAAAAAAAAGTGTGGCTATAAAATTTAAGTGTTTGGTATTCCGGTAAAAAGTGCTGAGAGTAAATAAAATATCTTAAAAGATATACATAAAATAATAGAATATTAGAAAATATAGGGATAATATAAAAGCACTTTTTCACCGCAAAAGCATCAGCCTTTTGATTTGGGTTTGCAAACCAGGTTTTTAAATCGAAAGCCATATATTTCTTGTTGTTTAGCATTGATGTTGAGTTAAAAACAGGTTTTGAATGCAAAAAGTAATTTCAACAGCAACGCTAAACTAGGCCTAAGCCTCACAATTTCAACCCAACTCTTGAAAGCAGTCACAAGAATTCCCACTGTCTAGAAAGGTTTACTTTTTAAACAAGTTACCATGTCCAACTAAAATTTCAGGCATTATCTATCTATCTATAAATATACATACATACATATATATATATATATATATATATGTAAAGAAGAAAAATCACTATACAGGAAATATTATTGAGACCCTGTATCTTTTCATCCTATCATATATAGTTGGAAACTTGGAATTGGGAAAAGAAATTAATTTGTTTTATGTTACCAAAATGTAAATAAGAGAAGCAGCAATAATGGTGCGGTATCCGCCAAGAAAAGAATCAGCAACGAATGCCCCCAAGAGTGGCAGAAGCATCGCTGTACCAGACCAGGCGTTGACATTCTCAGCGGCAGTGGCCGTGGACTGACCCAGAGGCCCCGTTAAGTAAGTCACAAGATTGGACTCGATTCCGCAGTAAGCAAACCTCTCAGCAATTTCTACACCTACACAACAAAATTTGGACTCATTTTCATATATATTAAAAAGGGTTGATTGAGCATAAAGCAAGATCACCTATGATGAAAGAAGCGGAAGTCCATCCCCCGCACTTGGTTCTGTTGACAGGGCGGCCATTGTAGTCAAGGCAGCCTTTTATGCCCTCCTCTTCTAAGAGTGGAGTTTCAGCGCTGGACGAGGGATTGGAGATCGCCATGTCCGTTGACTATCTAAAACAGTATAATGACCTTGGACGTACGGTTTAAAATTTTAGTAAAATTATATACGAAATTAATTAAATTAAAAATATATATTTTATATTTTATGTAATTATAATGTCTAATTTTCATATAAAATATTATATAAATATATAAATTTTTATATTTTATACAATATAAATATACGATCATAAGATTTATTTTTAACTATGCTAATTTTTTTTTTTTTTTTTGCAAAATAATGCTTAGTTTGATTTCACTAGAAAATCATAATCACTTACTTTTATCATTAAATCTAAAAATAAGTGAATAAAATCTCTTTTGGTTAAAATTATTAAAATAGTATTCCATCAAATATTTATCAATTAATTTAGTCAAATAGGTGAAGATAAATAATTTTTTTTTATAAATTGCATTAATCAACTAAAAAATTATTAAAAATAGCATTCCATTGAATATTTGTCAATCGATCAATTTGAAGGTGGATTTCATTTTTAAAAAAATACAATATTACTTGACATTATTAAAAATAGAATACCTATATAATTTGATAACAATTAGTTTAATGTAAAAAATACAAAAGTGATAATATTGCTTTTTGTTATATTAAGTAACATAAAATGGTAATGTGATGGACTGATAATCATAATTCATAATTGAAATGATATTATAGTTTTGTATAATTCAAAGTAATAATTTTTCTTTTTAAAAAAAGAGAGAATTCGGATCTTGTTTTTTAATAAAAAAATATGTATCATTTATTAAATTAAATGTTTAGGTGTATAAAATATGTAATTTTGGAATAAACTAATATAAATATGAAAATAATCAATAATAGTATTTTATATTATCTAAAGTAATAATATATGTTATTTGATAATAGATAAGTGAAACCTAATAACAAAAAATGATAATATTGATATGTATTGTCCAAACAATGTTCTATGAAATTTCTAGTAAAGAGAGTGAAAATAAAAATAATTTAAATTAGAGCTTAATTTAGTTGTTTAATTCAATAATTTTTAAAACATGACATTTAGCATATTTAACGTTCGAATTTTAATACTTACAACTATTTTTTTATCATAAATTATAATTTTTTGTGTAAAAAAAATAAAAATAATTAGTAATAATCTACTTTGTCTTATCTAAAATAATAAATAAATGTAAAAAACAACAAATAGTAATTAGAGGGGTGAATAAGAAAAGTTATTTGCATATTAGGGTTGAAAATTTTTTAATTATTTTAGATGCAGATTATTTGGGGTTTGAGTCTTTTAAATTTGGCACCCTAATTATTTGAATTTGGATCATCGTATTCAGGTCATTCATGTCCAAATTATTGAGTGTTAGGTGAAATCAATTTAATATTGAGTCATTTCAGAACCAGATTAATTCATGTTCGAAAAAAAATTGAAAATACCTAAAGTGACAAAATATTTCGTTGTTATACAATTAATTTAAAAATTATTTTCATCGATAAAACGTTTACTAATGGAACACCCGTTGCTAATCCACTTGTTTTCCTTCGGTAAAACTTTGTTTACTAAAGGATTTATGTTAAAAACTGTTATGCGGCAGTTACTCCATATGACAAATCTGATGATGCTGATGCATGAATATAGAATCAAAGCAAAGTTAGTTTAATTATATATGCTGTTAGTGTCTACCTTATAGGCCAATTGGTTTGTGCAAAATACATTGTTATAAGATTTAATTATCTAATAAAAAATTTTGATTTATCAATAAATGTTTAATATATATTCTTATTAATGCTTAATAACAAAGTTCTCATTATAAATAAAGTTTTATAAAGAAATTAAATTAAGTTGTAATTATGAGATCATCATTGCATCAAAATTATATCTTCAAATTATTTTTAACCAATGTTTTGTTAAGATAAGACATTAACATAAGCTATGCTCTTAGTTATGAAGCAAGCAATCGATTTTATAAGTTGAAATTTGTATTAATTTGAGTTAACATGTAGATATTTATTGCAAAAACAAGTTTATTAAATATGATCCAATATAAAAATGTTATTTGATAAACTATTTAGTGTTTGATAACAACATTCTCATGTTTGCCTTATATGAGTAATCATTTGATCTGAGATTACTAATCATTTTATACAAGGAATGTTATATTTTGATTTTATTTTACTTATAATCCTAACCATTAAGGCCCCAATCAAGTATTGTTAGATATAATATTAGATATATGAATATGCATAAATAATTAATTAGGATTCATCACCTTATATGATTAAAAGAATAGTCAATGACAAATCCTTTTTAATGACTTTAATATATACTATTTGATATACTTATTTCATGTATATATTTAAATTAAATTAGCTTTCATATTAAAATTATTATTGTTAATTTTATTTTTTATTTTTAATTAATTTTATACATTGTAATTTAATAGGAATTAAAATCTCATTACTTTTTTTTTGTCTATTTATTGTACCTATAATCATTATTCACAAACCATTAAATAATAAACTTGTCACAAATATTAAGTTACACTCATATAACTTTAAAAAAATTTAACTTTTTAACTTTCTCAACAAAATTTCAAAATTTCAACCAAATACCAAATATATGTATTGATTTTTTCTTTTAATTGACTGCACTTATCTTCTTACATTCTTGTAACTGTTTTTATGCTTTTTTTTTTTTTTGTTAATTTGATAAAACCTCAAATGAATTATGATAATTATTCAAAATTTTTTATTTTTCTTGAAGTACTCATGTTCAGCATATGTGTGATAAATGTAAGTATTAAAGTCGAACAATCCAAATATATAGAAAAACTTTAATGAAATATACATATCCATACTAAATATAGATTCGTATATAATAATCACTCGTGAATTTGAATAATATAGTAAATGAAAATATATATAATTTTAGTTGATCTCTTCAATACCAAATATTAAGATCCATTAGTGAAAACATCTCACTTAATCTTGAATAAATTAACTCAAAAATTTTTTAACTAAAGTGAAATATAGTTTTGAAAAAAATTCTAAAGTTCATTTGTAAGCTAATATTAAATCAGAGACTTAATATGATTAAATAATATTTAATAGACACTAAACCGAGATATTAACTATTAGGTAATAGAACGATTAATTAATCAAGCACAGGTAGGTTTGTTAAACCACATTTGACTTTCTTTAATAATTTAGGGTCATAATTTGTTGCTAAATGACAATTATAATCTATAAATATAAAATTGATTAACTAAATAATTAATGATAAATTCAAAATAATTGATTTATTAATCCCAATTAATTAAGCATTATGATATTTATATTTATTATCAATAATAAATTGTGACTTGTTAAGATTAAAATTAGGTTAGACTTAATTTATTGAGCTAAATTTAATTAAAGGTCTAAAATAGAAGAATTACTAAAAGTTCAATACCCATTACAAAAAACACTTGATGGAGCATTATTATTTTTTTTTTAAGAATTGAAGGGTTATGCTCCTTCCATTGTTTTTGTTTGTTTTGTTTTTTTAATGTATCAGAACTGTCGTATCTTTTCTTGCTGTTTTCGTATATAGGTATTATTATTATTATTTTTTTACATCAAAAGGGTAAAATCTTAATACAAATAAAAAAAAAGAAACTTGATTCAAAATCAGATTTTTAATATCCTCTTAAGTGTTTTTAACCATTAAACTAAAGGCTTAGAGATACAAAGTGATAATTTTTTTTATTAGAGAGCTTATACGTATATATTGTATGCAAACATTATTTAATTCTTAATATGAGTTAAGTTAAAATTCTATTTCTAATAGAATCCTTCATAAATACTATTAAAAACTTATATGTGCTATGTAAATAAGCCCATATATTATGAAAATTACTGATCAATAAAAAATATTAATCCCAATTACTCTATTAAAAATTTCTCTCATAAACTTTATATCGTCTAATCTTTAGATATCCACTTAAAAATTTAAGACTTTGAAATGTGAAAATTTATGAACAACTTTAATAACTGTTTCATAAACTAGAAAGCTAAAAAAAAAAGAAAAAAAAAACAATTCAAGGAACAGAATAAGAAATTAGTCCATCGAGTTCTCTGAAATAACTATAGATGTATAAATTTGGAAACTTCAGATTAGCATTAAAATAGTTAACCTTTAAAATACTCCTTTTTTTTTTTTTGTTAAAAAACTTAATTTTTAATATTCCAAAACTAATTTCTTTCAATATTTATTTTTAAAAAAACTGTCCTTAACAATCATAAAACTTTAATTTTATAAAAAATTATTATTTGAATATAAAATAAGAGTTTTTTTTTTCCCTTTAATGAAAGTTAAATGAGGATAATAAAAATGTGACAGAGACTATTTACATTGTACTTCCCCGGTTATAAATATAAGATTTTGTAAAATACAAGTAAAGAGCCAATTGGATGACACGAAGCGCAGCAAGTAACCAATAAAAATAATCGAGATGTGCCCGATTTAGATTATCTGAAAACCAGCTATCTCGACCATTCCCATCGGTGGCATTCTCAATGGCAGAGATGAGAAAGCTGCTCAAGAAGCTTCCAACGCCAAAGATGCTAAGGTAGAGTGCAAGACCAACACTCCTTAATTCATTTGGAAACTGATCATAAAAAAATTCTTGAAAACCAACCATGGTGAACACGTCAGACAATCCAAACAGGACATAAGAAGGAACCAGCCACCACGCACTCATTGGAACCGTGGCTGTTGGCTTGTCTACCAGCCCATATTCTTGAGCAGTCTTGAGCCTCTGCATCTCAACTATGGCTGCAATTGCCATCGATATAGCAGATAAAAGCATGCCGATTCCGATTCTCTGAAGCATTGTAATTCCAGCAGGTTTCCCAGTGAAGCCTCTCGCCAAAGGAACAAAAATGCGGTCATATATAGGAATGAAGAAAATACTTGCAAGGCTGGCAAATGACTGTAGTGAAGCAGATGATATTTTGAACTCGGCTGTTATTGATCTGTCCATGGTAGCTCCTTGCTTGACAAAGAAAGTTGAGGATTGTGCAAACACAACAGCATAAACCAAGCTTGCAGCCCATATAGGAACAAGCCTTAGAACAGCCTTTGCTTCTTCAACCTGTCTGACGCACACCTTTCCACGTTCCTTTGCACCATCTGAAGCAAGCAAGGCTTTGTTGAGGAATCTACAACATCAGAAAATCCGAATTGGCATGCTAAAACTGTCTTAGTATGGAAAACAAAACAAGGAACTAGGAAGATTGTTTTCATAATTTCAGCCAAGTTCAACATAGAAAACAGCAAGAGCTCCCTGGTAATAAGAGGTCATCGTAGAATGGCTCAAGCCGGAATGATAAAGGGAAACAGTTCAGGTCTGTACATGTATAAAAAACAAATTGTACTTTGTCATGGAACAAAGAAAGCATAGTGACTACTTATTACAAACAACCAAGGCATCATTTTACAAGATCCTAACTTCCACACTTCAAAGTGCCCAGGAAAATTGCCTCGTTTCAATGATACTAGACATGAATCAAACTTATTTCAGGTGCTATATAAAATAATTAGAGATAAGGATGAATCATTTCCACATATTTCAATTTGTTTCCCTCAAGGAAGCTTTTGTAAGGCATTATAATTATTGTTCTTTAGTGAAGTTCTTAAATGTAAAAAGGGAAAACTTTTCACTTACTTGAATTGCTTGGAACTTTCAGATGGCAGAGTTCCATGCGTTTCTTCTTCTACAGCTATTGCTGAAGATGGTTTACTCCAATTCTTAGCCGCTAAAATGAACACCTGACCAATTCTCACAAATGGATTTTTCTTGTCACCTTTGACACTAAAACGATAAGTCGGTGTCCCACCCAAGAAAACAACTAGTGCAACAACCATGATAACACAGGGAATCCCAAATCCAAAAACCCAACTAAGATTGTCTTGGATGGAGTTTAAAATCCAATGTGTTATAAACATGGCAATACACAAAGAAAAATACCACCAATTAAAGAATGAACTCTTGGCTTTCAACTCCTGTGGGTCTCGTGTATCAAACTGATCCGCACCAAAAGCTTGAACGCATGGCTTTTGTCCTCCTTGTCCAAGTGCTACTAGAAAGAGAGAGAAGAAGAATACTATCACTTGAAAATGAGAAGAACATGATGTGGTTTTATCAGCATTTTGGCAGCCAGAAGGAAGAGTGGCTGTGAAAGTCAACAAGCTTAGCCCCTGCAAAGAAAATAATTAAAAAAAAGGAACTCAGACAATTAATAAAAATTATAAAATGAATAAATGAAACCTGACAACTTATTCTCCAGCCTTTAGCAAATTTTCATTTGTCCAAAGCTGGAGCTCTCCTATAGCCTTTAACAAAAGATTCCAATGGAACGAGCAGGTAGTGTATACTGTTAACTATCTCATTTTGAGACATCAAGAGACTAACATGAATTCTAATAGCAGACACAATTTCATCAGTTAAAGGCTCGCAACTGATCCAAACTGTTACTCTATTATGTGATTATTTCCATGATTTAAGAGAGCATTCATGAAAATCAAATAGATATAATTAGAGCAAAGATGATAAATCTCTTATGCATGATTATCCTTTTAATCGATTTAATATATTCTACTTTCTCTTTATAAATTTATCTTTCATTATTGACTATAAATTTTTTTTTCATGAATTACTCTTACTTATCCAATCAATCTTTAGTTGAAAAAAATAAAAAGAAAAAAAGAAGGGAATTTGAAAATTACCAATATGTAAAGAAGAGAAGCGAGAATAGTGGTGCGATAACGACCAAGGAAAGAATCAGCAATGAAAGCACCAAAGAGTGGCAAAAGCATCGCCGTTCCAGACCAAGCATTGACTTGCTCAGCTGCAGCAGAGGTGGACTGGCCCAGAGGTCCCGTTAAGTAAGTGATAAGGTTGGATTCTATTCCAAAATAAGCAAATCTGTCAGCGATTTCTACGCCTGCGCAAATTGTAGCTAAAACTTCAGTTTTCTGATTTATTTAAGTGATTTGAAAAGGTTGATTCAGTGGAAGTAGCACCTATGATGAAAGACGCGGATCTCCAACCGCCGGAGTTGGCCCTGGGGACAGGGCAGCCTTTGCAATCAACGCAACCATCGACGGTGTATTCTTCTAAAAGCGGAGCTTCAGGGCCGGAGGCCGACAGAATAGATATTTCCATATCTTTTGGCAGTTTGCGAGTTGGAATCGAAACTACACTCCACTCTTCCAACAAAGACGCTTACGCACTCCATCGAAGAGATATAAAAATGGAACAGCCTTTGGCTGTTTGTTATCAGGGCCTACGGTGACGTTGTCCCCAACCCAATAATTCGCGAGAACCGAAGTGCGAGCGAATCTGAACCGATGGATGTTGTTTAAAGAATGCCAAAGATCACAATGCCTACGAATTTGAACCCTTTATGATTCCAATGGACAACAATCCAAATCTCAAGTGAATTCCATCCGAAATCCGTAAAAAAAATTAAAGTTTTAACAAAAAAAAAAAACTAGACTATAATTGTAGCATTTTTGTTTTAAAAATTTAATTATATTTATTTTAATTATCTGTCAGCATCAAACAAATTACTCGTCTAACTACACCAAATATGATATGCATAGAGGCATCTCAACCAGATTTTTTGACTTTAGTAGCGCCCATAGTTAAATATAATTTTTTTAAAAAATAGAAATTACTTCAACGGTTACTTTTATCGAGTATATGTTTAAATTTCATTTGAATTTTTTTAATAAAAATATAATAATTAATTGCACTCTATGGATCTTATTCATTTATGTGGGTCCATCAAAGTTGTTTAGATGAAGTCCAATTGCCATTTCATGGGAACAAGCCATCTACAAGATTTAATGTCCAAAATTATTTTCTCATAATTTATGAGCAATGCTTCTTTATTCATAAATAAATTTATTTTTTTTTAAAGATAAACACTCTTCTGGTTGTTGAGTTTCAAATGGAGTCTATAACGGGAGAATCCGATTCTATATTAAATAATCCAAAAATTATTGGCTTAGGTTCTTTACCTTGATCAAAATTTTAGTGTAAAGATATTTAGCCAATTTATTTTTCAATCTCATTTTTAATTTCTTTGAACCCTTCAAAAAATTTAGACTTATGCTTCACATAACCATAGTTGGGGGATATTCTTAACCAACAAAATACTATTATGGATATGATGAATGCAACCGATGATAACAGGCCGATAAGAAAATGCATGAAATGAATGTTGAGCTAGTTAGCACATTCAAAGATAGGAAGAAGAAAGCAATTATCAAATTCAGTACTAAATATTTAGTAAAATTTTTAAACACTTATTTTCCAGTTTATCGAACATTACTTTGAATGCATAAATGTGAAGTTATTTTCCTGAGCAAAGTTATAAAATTTTCATAAAATTTTCATGTTAAAGTCAATAATACTTCGTAAATTAAACCCATAAATTGTGTATTGAGTCTCAACAATTACTACAGTAGAAATTACTGGCATGATACTAAAGGAATGATCCAATCACCAATAGCTCATCATCCATACTAATGCAGAAAATCAATTGTAACTTGATCTTCCAATGCTATAAACAAAAGACTTGGAAAAATACAAGAACGCAGCCAATCCTACCGTGCTTAGCGCAGCAAGTAACCAGTAAAAGTAATCGACATGAGCTCGATTAAGATTACTATTGAACCAGCTGTCTCGACCATCTCCACCACTTGCTTTATCAATGACAGTAACCAGAAAGCTGCTTAAAAAGCTCCCTACACCAAGGACACTGAGATAAAGGGAGAGGCCAACACTCCTCAATTCGTTCGGGACCTCATCATAGAAAAACTCCTGGAGACCAACAATGGTGAACACATCAGCCAGACCAAAAACTACATATTGAGGAACCAACCACCACACACTCATTGGGATTGTGGCACTTGGGTTGTCAACTAGCCCGTATTTTTGTGCAGTTTTAAGCCTTTTCATCTCAACTAAAGCTGCAATTACCATTGAAACGGCAGACAAAAACAACCCGGTACCAATTCTTTGAAGCATTGAGATGCCTGCTGGTTTCTGGGTTAAAGTTCTTGCAATAGGAACAAAAACGCGGTCATAAAGGGGTATGAAGACAAGGATAGACACACTGATAAAGAATTGAAGCGAAGCAGCTGGAATAGTCAGGCCTACAGCAAGTTTTCTGTCCATTGTAGATCCTTGCTTTGTAAAGAAAGTAGAGACTTGTGCAAATATTATACCATACACGAGGCATGTAGTCCATATTGGAATTAGCCTTAATAGAGCCTTGGCTTCTTCAACATCGTGGAAACTGCAACCTTTCGAATCTTCACCTGAACCATCTTGTGCAAGCAAAGCTTTGTTAAGGAACCTTCCACACACATTTAAAAGGCTATGTTAGAAGTTATTATGCAGTAATGCAGGATGCACAGTGACTATATAAACTTTCCATTGAACACAGGAAACCTCTCAAGTCATTATAATTGGCATACAATATTGTAGATTTTCTTTTCTTTTTTTTTTTTTCTTTATGTTTGTCATACCATATAGATTCGAAAATATTTAACTAGACTTAATAAATTAAGGAGTCCTCACCAATCTTTTTTACTAGGTGTGATTTGACACTTAAAGAATCTATTCTTTTAAGGAGCTCTTAAGCTTAACTAAGGTTTTCTAAAAAAAATACGTTCGGGTCTACAAACCAAAATAGGGTTTGAGAGTTCGGTTACATGTGGGAAAAGTTATAGCACCCCCACATGCCTATCTAAAGGATGGTACCATATTATTTTAAATTTATCCTAAGGTCTTGAGTTTAATGGTTTCAAATTTTTATGTTAAATATTGAAAATAATTTATAAGATTCTTCCATTAATCTGGTAAAACTCTTAAAAAATATTTTCTTACCTCAAGAGCATTCGAGGATCCCATTTATTTCCTTGAAGAGGCTTCCTCGTTGGAAAGATTTTTGCTAGTTTTATTTTTTTTTGTGTTGAAAATATATTTAATTATTCTATCATTTGACCAAATTAAAAATATTCTCTTTTTGAATTTTAAAAACTTTTTCATTTGGGCCTATTTAAAAATTTCATTTTATTATTATTATTTATTATTTTTTATTTCGAAATTTTTCACAATTTGGGTTGATTTAAAAATATTTTTTTTTTGAAAATTTCTAAAATTTTCACCTTATAGGCTTATTTAAAAATTCTTTTTATTTTTTTTTTGGAAAGAAAATAATATAACAATTATTTTTATTGAAATTTCATTTAAATTATTCCACAATTTGGGACAAATTTAAAGAAAATTTCTCACCTAAAGATTTCTTAAAAATTTATCATTTGAAATTTACAAGAATCTCATAATTAGATAATTATAAAATATTTTCAACCAAAAAAAATTATTTGAGAAAGAATACAATTACTTTAATTGAAATTTCATCTAAATTATTTTACAATTTAGGACAAATTTAGAGAAATTTCTCACTTAGAGATTTCTTAGAAATTTACCATTTGAAATTTTTAAGAATCTCATCCTTGGATAATTTATATTTAATTCCAAAATTTTATTTTTATTTTTTATTATTTTTGTTATTTTTTTAGTTTGAAAATAAACATTAATTATTATTATTATTGAAATTTTATCTAAATTATTTTACCATTTGAGATAAATTTAAACAAAATTTCTCACATAAAAATTTTATGAAAATTTACCATTTGAAATTTTTATAAATTCCATCATTGGATAATTAATATTTATTTTCAAAATTTATTTTATTTTATCCTTATTTTATTTTATTTTTCCTAAAATTAATCATGCAAAAAAAAAAAAAAACTAAAAAAAAACACAAAAATAAATTAAAAAAATGGCTCGGCTTGTGGCTCAGCTTCAGACACAAAAAATGATTCGGAGACTCGGCTTAGTGGCAATCAACTCGGCTTAACAAGAGTGACTAATTGGGAAGCGGGTTGAAAGCGGGTCGAGCGATCAGGTCGGGTTGCCCAGCGGTAAAACGCGTAGATCCTGGATTGAATTAAGACTCCAAAACAACACTATTTTAGAGCTGCTATAAAATGTTAAATCTTAACCTATTTCCTCAGATTTCACTTTCTCTTTCTCTCTCTTCTCCCTCTTTTTCATTCTCTCTAGGATTCAAAAACACCGATTGAATCCTTCACCGGATTCTGAAATTATCGTCGAAATCTAGGTAGGGTCATCGAAAGTTCATCGAAAATTTTAACGGTTCCTGGAGTGTGACGTAAAAAACTGGAGAACTGGTCGAAAACTAGAGAGTTCATTGGAATCTCATCGAAAAATTTAAACGATGTTGAAAAATTGATCAAAATTTGGGAAATTTTTAAAATTTTTTTTAAAAAAAAGCCAAAAAATTCGAAAAAAAATCTTAAAAATTCTAGAACTGCCTCTGCTTTTCTAAACACCTTTTTTGCTTATATTTTCTGTTTGTTTGCTTTTTGTGTTCTATTTACTTATGATCAATAGATATTTATAGGGATCAATCATAAAGTTTGTGACTAATTCAAATTTTCTTTTTGATTAGGTTTCTAGATTATCCACAAAACATCAAATTCATACTATAGTCTTTGAATCCAATTGCAACTCTGCCAATCCCAATCATTGGCAAAATATTCCCTCACTTTCTATTATATTTTCCTTATTATTTTTTTTAACCTTTATCATTATCTTAATCATCATCATTATCTCCCAACAATAACCAAAGATTAATTAGGAAAAGATAAATTCTAGAAGAAAAAAAAATAAAAAAAAAAATAAATAAAAAAGAAATAATTAAACCAAAATTTTGGGCTTAACTGAACTAATTGGATCAGGCCCAATTGATCCGAGCTTGGACCAAATTGAATGTCTATAGTTGCCCATTTTTACGCATTTTTTGTGCAACAAAAATTGTGGAAAGACATAGACACCATGCTTAAGATTATGCCAACCCATTCGCTTTTTTTTTTTTTTAATTAGACACTCGAAACAACCTTAAGTAGATGTTCATAACTTTTGAAGAATGAACAAAACTCCTCTAAACAGAGGCTCAATGACTTTTTGAAAAATAAACAAAGCTCCTCTAAGCAGAGGCTCCATGATTTTGAAAAGTAAACAAAGCTCCTCTAAACAGAGGCTAAATGCTTTGAAAAAATAAACAAAAGCTCTTCTAATCAGAGGCTTAACAACTTTGAAAAAAAAAAACAAAGCTTCTTTAAGCAGAGGTTCAACAACTTTGAAAAAAATAAACAAAGCTTTTTTAATCAGAGGTTCAACGACTTTGAAAAAAATAAACAAAAGGAAAAAATAAACAAAGCTCTTATAATAAGAGGTTCAGCGACTTTGAAAAAAATAAACAAAGCTCCTCTAAGCAAAGACACCATAACTTTAGAAACGTAAATTGCTCTTCTAAACAGAGGCACCACGACTTTGAAAAATAAATGACCTCTTGACAATCATGTGTAAAAGAGTCATATATTATGTTTGAAGGAATTTTAGAAGATTATACCTGAAGGTCTTACAAATCATTCCTAATATTGAAAAATATCCTTTTCTAAGGATTAGAATCTTATCTCATATGATTTTTCTTAAACGAGAATTTGAAACTCTTTCATCAAAAAGTTTTCACATGTCTTCTGTATGTTGAATCTTGGAATATCCTGTTTCCTAAATTCATGCATTGGATCTTCTTACATAAATGCAACATATACTATGCGGTAGACATAATGCAATGCATGCTATGCAAATGCTAGTTAATTGTGGTACTCAAATTTCTCAAGTTTTTTTCTTGGGCCCCAAACCCTTCAATCTCCAAATACTAAGATCAAATCAATGTAATTCTCAATCACCCCTCTCTTTTAACCCTCACATTTCCCTTTTAAAGAAATTTTTTTCAAATCCAATGTCCTTATTAGGAATTGAACCTTTCATATTTGCCTTTATCACTCTCAACCTTTCAAACATAATGTAGTAATCTTTCATGTTAGTATTCATTTATCAATCATTATTTCAACCTTAAAAGGTAAGAATGCAATCACACATTTCTTCCATTGTAAGGTAGTAAAGAGGAAATAGTAAGAATGGCTAAAAAATAATCAATAAAAAGAGAAACACAAAGAATGAAATGGATTCTTTTATATTAACAAAAATGCTGGCAAACTTTGGCCAATGTGAAAAGAAAGAAATACAACAATAGGTATAGGGGACAATGCGCAAAAATAAACAATCAGACAATCATGATAACAAATCTCGAAGTCCTTTTGAAAAACTCAACCACCCAATGCACTTAACAACTTAAAGCCTCTCATAACATGCTAGAGTCCTTGCCAATAAATTTTTAAATTCAATGCTGTATTCTCCTTATCTAAGCTGTCTTTTCAAGTTTCAACTTAGATAAACCCTCTTTTGACTCAAACCGCCCTTTCAAGGTTTTTGACTTGAATATTTCTTTTTTTCTTTTTTTTAAGCATAGTACTTCTTCACAGCATCAGAATTTATAGGATGAGATAGATAATCTTCATCCATATCAGCTAATATTAATGCTTCACCTGAAAAAGCTCATTTCACAACATATAATCCTTTTCAATTCAGAGTTTACTTTCCTCTATTATTGTGCTTACTTGAGAGAATTCTTTTTAAGACTAACTCATATTCTCGAAAACAATGAGATCGAACCTTTTTATTATGAGCCCTCATCATTCTACTTTGATATAGCTGACCATGACACAACGCTGTCAATATCTTTTTCTTGATAAGATTTGATTGTTCATAACGCTCTTGAATCCATTCAGTCTTTCTAGTTCAACTTCCTTTAAAATCCTCAAGGATGAGATCTCTACTTCTACTGGCAATACAGCTTCCATTTCATAAACCAAAGAAAATGAAGTTGCTCCAGTAGAGATATGCACCGATGTTTGATACGTATGCAGTGCAAATGACAACTTCTCATGCCAGTCTTTATAGGTCTCAGTCATCTTCTCAAGGATTCTCTTTATATTCTTATTAGCTGTCATAACTACTCCATTCATTTCGAACAGTATGACTTCGAATTAGATGCTTGATCTTGTATTGGACATATATTTCTTGCATCATCTTGCTATCAAATTTTTAGTATTATCTGAAATGATTCTCTCCGAAGTTTATATCTGTAAATGATCTTTTTTTTATGAACTTACAGATCACAGATCGTGTTACATTTTCAAATGATGTTGCCTCCACCCATTTCGTGAAGTAATCTATCATCACGCAAATAACCATATGCCCCTTAGAAGCCTTTGGGATAATAGGACTAATGATGTCCATATCCCACATCGAGAACGATCAAAGTGGTGCCAAAACATGTAAAGCAGATGGTAGAGCATG